CCCAAACCCTACCCATAATAAATGGGTCTACTTGGGTTTGGGCAAAATTACCCATGGGTAGGGATGGCAATTTCGACCTGACCCGTTTTACCCGACCTGTTTGACCTGTTTTGGGGCGGGTCCGACCCGCCCCGTAGGCAGGGCGGGGCGGGTATGGGTAGTCTCATCGACCCGACCTGCCCTGACCCGTCCCATTCTCGACCCGTTCATGTCTAAATCACATGTAATCTTAGTCAAATTACTTAGAATTTTCTTTTACTGCATCATATTTTAGCTATAATAAAGTTGTAAATTAGTGAAAATCTCAATTTCTCCAATAATTTAACTACAATTGTCATAATATTGTTTGTTTTCTTAGTCTTATAATAAAAATAACGAATATTTCTAATATTTTTCATATAAATTGCATACCCATTGGGTCGACCTGTCCCGACCCGCGACCCGTGATCAATTACCCGACCTGCCACGGGGCGGGTCTGGGTACCAAGAAACCCGCCCCGGACCTGCCCCATTGCCATTACATGGGTGGGTAAATTGCCATCCCTAATACCATGCATATCAAATTCGAAAAGTTTATGTAGGGGAGCATGGTTTATGATTGTCTAGGAGTTGAAATTCTCGTATGTGAAATGTCTCTTCTTTTCTCACCATTCACGGACAAAAAAGATGCATTTTTCTAAAACAACGCTATCAATTTATGCAAATTCACTTATATTAACGCAAATAACCTATTTTACCACGCACTCTCATTACTCATTTATCAATTAATCTAAATTTTTTTTACCCACTCTTATACATTGCCTGAAAAAATAGACCACTTGCATTAAAAAAAAATTGTGAGATTGTCCCTAATATTTTTCATCTTCTTTTCCTTCTCGTTCATGTAGAGAACGGGTCCCCTCCATCGTTGGTGGGAATGTTGGTATCTGGTTTGAGGGAGCAGAGAGAGGGAATTGTTTGAACATTGGGAGAGCTTCATTTAATTAGAGTCAGACCGGGACTTCTGTCGAAAAGGATGACCGCGTACGATGTACGCTGTGGGTGGGGAAGAAAAAGGAAGACATGACGAAATGACCGGCGACCACCAACTTGATCGTGTCAAATTTGTGCTTCCAACTTATATAACATGCTTCGTGTCGAGATGGCGCGTTGCGTTGCACTGGACTGCAGCTGGTTTTGCCGTTTCGATCGAATCACGGATGCGCACTACCTTAATCATCGAATCGTCGTCGCTTGTGACCGTCTTCTCAAAGGTTTGTGAGCGTGTGTATTCTAGGCAGCTGGATGGATGGGCAAATAAAGAGAGATTACCAAACTAATATTGGGGAAAAAGAATTGATATTTGAATCGAACCGAACGGAATCCAACTTATAGTTTGAGCCCAATAAATGTGGTGCGTATACTTAGCAGCATGTCAGGGAACAAAACGAAGTATGCGCGAGTCATGTTGAGCTCGCACGTTACAACCGCACTTTTCTAGGATACATGCCTTTATGTCCGGCTCAAGATACAATGCATAACCATGGATTATGCACCTATCAGTAACTAAATATGGACCATTCATTAAGAAAATTTAGATCTAAAGGTGGAGAATTAAAAATCTTTTTATTTTTCCTTGTTTTCTTAATCGGTTCATATCTTCTTCGTGTTAACTCGAATTTCAAAAAAAAAAAAAAATTTGCACAAATGGAACGAGTTCGTTCTGCTCTACAAAATGAGATCCATTTTCAATATTTTTTGAGAAAAAAAATTGAGTGCCTCTCGGTACCAACAGCATACCATATGGTATCTTTATTGTTTTTAATTCGTTTTTGAAAATTTTTACACAGAAGGAGCGAGTTCATCATGATCTATTGGATCTACAAATTTCTGAGTGAACAAAATACATGACCAAAAAATATCACACAATACCATCCTGGTACGGGGTGGTATCTTGTGGTACACAATGTTAAAAGTTGTAAATGACAGTTAATATACTTCTACTATCATGTATTCAACCATCCTATAGTCTTGGTTTGTTCATACCACCATGGTACGCTTTTTATACCACAGGTATGCTCTTATTTCAATATCAGTCAATACCATATGATATAGACTGGTAAAAAATGGCTCAATTTTTTTTGTTCCAAAAATATATCAAAGTGAATATCATTTTAAAAAGCACAATTGATCTGATCTATCTGTGCAAAAAAAAAAAATTTCGACTTAAAACGAGTGAGAAATCGTCCGTTAAAAATCAAGGGGAAAACACTAAAGTTTTTTCTAGAGAGATAACGGCGCTAATGTGATGAATTCTTATTGGATTATATATAGATATTGACCATACAGTTATTGACTGGATTCCCTCCCGTCCCGGATGTAATTAATCAGGGCTGGGAGTACTAATTTTTAGCTTAGAATGGGGGTGGCTTGAGTTGGCCAAAAATGAGAGCGGATCCAGTGACTAAGGGGGGTGCTTAGTCACTTGACTAAGACCCTCCCAGCCCTTAGATCTGGACACTTCAATCCAATGGTTAAAAAGTGGGAAGGACTATTTAATTAATGACAGGGGTAGTTTGGGTATTATGAAAAATTACGAAGTATACAAACCGGATTTACAATCAGTATAAACCATACAAACATACGAACAGTACAAACTAGAGCGACAAAACATACAAACAGATTTACAAACATTACAAACGTATGAACTGTACAAACAATACAAACTAGACCCACAAACAATACAAACCATACAAAAAGAAAAAACAACCGGGTTGACTTTCGAGGCTCCATCCCTATATAGAGGGGCTCCTTCCCAAAGTCAACCCGAGTGTTTTTTAGACATACAAACAGTATGAACATGGTGGACAAAAATGACAAACTAGACCGACAATCCATACGAGCGGGAAAAAACACCCGGGTTGACTTTGGAGGCTCCATCCCTATATAGAGGGGCTCCTTCCCAAAGTCAACCCGGGTGTTTTTTAGACATAAAAAACATTACGAACATGGTGCACAAAAATAACAAAGTTTACAAACATGGTGCACAAAAATAACAAAGTTTACAAACATTACAAAAAAAAACCGACAAACATTACAAAATAACAAAGCATACAAACATTACAAAATATGTCAACAAACATTACAAAAGTAGCACTGTCGCCGGAAAATTATTCTCCGGCGACGATGTTCATCGGAAAAAATTTTCCTACGAGAAAATCTCTCTCTCTCTCTCTCTCTCTCTCTCTCCGGCGAATTACACGCGGCCGGCGGGATCGGAAATCTCTGGGGAAGAAAAACGCAGGCCGCGCGCGGAGAAGGGAAGGATCGGGCTGAATTTTTTTTTATTTTAATTGGTAAGTACAAATTAAATAATTAAATTACTATATTGCCCTTCATTAAATTGGATTAATCAGAACCATTGAATTTTAGTAAGGTGGAAGGGCCGAGATTCACTTAGTCACATGACTAAGGGACCCCCTAGTCACCTAATCTTAGCCCGCCAAAAATGAAGCAAAACCGCTGGATGAGAGCAGCCCATATGCCGATGATATTGTTATAATTGTATAAATAGGTCATAGACGCTTATTTTTAATATAGATGCATCATTGTTTGTGTTGCCGCTTTGCCCCTCCAGTTGGGCGCAGTTGTATTTGTATTTGTATTTGTATGTTTTGTCTAGTGTGGGTGTGGGTGTTGGCCCTCTGCCAGGTATTCACATGGGTGTCTCTCTTTCCTCACATCCCTCCCACCTTACCAGCTGTACCTCCTCCAACACCACGTGCTTCTCCACCGTCCTTCCATAGCATGGTAATGGTAATTTCCACTAATAAGAGATAACTTGAACCCGCCTGCCGTCGGGTATTTTTCGACCTGATCCGTGATGGGATGGGATTATCCGATCCGCAGTAGAGTGGAACGGGCATGTGTATTAATTTCCGACCTATCGTACTGTCCCATTTTTGGCCCGTTCAAGGTCAATTTATTACACCATCTATTCACATATCTCCTATTTTAACTTTTCTTTTACTAATTAGACTTGATCTTTCAACTAAATAAACTCAATTACCCATTATATTATCACTATTATTCATTCATGTAGTCTTTTCCCCTTTGTTTTATCGTAAAACGTAAAATTTTACTTATATTTTTTTTTTCAAATAGCATATAAAAACAGGTCGACCCGCCCCGGCCCATCCCGTACCCGCTCGAGTATTAATCGTCCCGGCCCGTAGTAGCATGGAGCGGGACAAGGACATTGAGGTACTCGCCCCACGCCGACCCATTGCCATCACCAACAAAGTGACACGTGAGGCTAAAGTTTCTGGATAATAAAAAAGAAACTTAACTAATCAATCATCTATTCGATTCCGAAACTTGTTCTACGGTAAAACTTCTCTTGGAACTGCCCTGCATGCACCCGACCTGCCAAAAGACAGAATATGAATATAGAGACAGCTTCGTCGAACACCCCACCCACATCATTGCCATTCTAGTCCCTCACCACTAGGGCTACAAATGAGCCGAGCTGCTCGCGAGCGGCTCGACGTTCGACTTGAGAAAAGCTCGTTCGAAACTCGGCTCGTTAATAAACGAGCCGAACACGAGCTCACCTTTGTTCAGCTCGTGAAGCTCGCAAGCTAGCTCGACTCGGTGGCTTCTTGAGCTAAACTCGTGAGCTGGCTCGTTTAGAGCTCATGATATGTCTTGACATATGGCTAGAGAGCCAACTCGATTACCAACTTATGGACGAATCAATCTATATCTTATGATTTTAATTCATATGGTTGTTAATTTATATATCTCACCATATATAAAGTTTGCACATTGAATATGTGAGCAAATATATCTTATTTTCTACTTTAAAAAGAAATTATGCATCATAGATTACTTCGAAACAATGAAATAACATGATTTGGAGTAGTTAAAATTTATTAACTAAACGATATATGATGCCAACAAAGTATAAAGTATAAGATAAGATTAACTAACAAAATAACTCATATGTATCATGATATACAAAATTAAGTACCAAATAAAAGTTAAGATTTTAATAAACAAACTAGCTCGAACTCGACTCGGCTCGTTAATAAACGAGCTGAGCTCAAACTGAGGTAAAACTCGTTATTAACGAGCCGAGCTCAAACTGAGGTAAAACTCGACTCGACTCATTTGGAGCCCTACTCACCACTCCACTCCATGGCAAGCCACAAATACGACCATACCATACCAAAGCAAATAGACAAACACCACCATTCTCATTTATCCACTGCTTCCCAGCTGTATCACCACTGCCTTCCTGCGTTGCTTTTTTCGTCATCCTCCACACCGCACACTCATAAAACGACAACGCAACCCACCTCCCCACTCACTCTCAACTCACTCCTTTTTCCTCTCCACCCCCAACAACGGCTAAACTACATCTCCTCCCCATTTCCCAGATCCAAACGCATTTCTCTCTCTCCCTCCCCAGTTACAGATCCACACATTTGTCTTCATCGCAACATTAATAAGTTAATCCTTCAATTAATCAACATTACTTGGCTGCTTATTAATTCCAAAAATAACAACCAGCATAATCATCATCATTGCCACAACGACAACAGTAATCAATGATAAATCATATCAATAGTAATATAATCATAATAATAATAATAATAAATAAACAGTCCTGCTCAACAATAACCAAACCCATCTCCCTCACAATAACAGAACAAAGAAAGAAAGAAAGAAAAAAAAATCCCAACAAGAAAATCAAAACAAACTCCCACCACTGTCAACATAATCATCACCAATCCACCAAAATATTTTCAACGGAAAACAAAATCCTAACCGCCTAACCGCACCATCCACCCCAACCCTCAGATCTACATCCACAGAGCCGACAAGCAGGCAGCTCCGGCCAAAACCACGGCCGCGCCGACTCCGTTCACACTGGCGCCGTTGGTTCCGGGGTTGGAACCAGCAGGAGACAAAGCAGACCCAGGGCCCGAGGCGGCAGGAGGCAGCGACACGCCGTCGCCGGACGAAGGCGCCACGGGTGCTGGCGGAGACATGGTGGGGGACATGGTGGGAGCGGCGGTGGGGACGGCAGCAGTAGTAGGAGCTGCCGCCACGGTCGGAGGTTGAGTTGGAGCAGATACGGGAGCCGTCTTGGGAGCTGCCGGGGCTGCCTTAGGCGAAGCGGTAGGAGCTGCTGTGGGAGCCTGCGCCATGGCTGAGCAGGCGACGAGTGCGAAGATCGTCAAAGTAATCAAGCTCCTGGCCGCCATTGCTGTTTCTGTAGATTTGGTTCGAATTTGGAGGAGAGGAGGAAAATGTGGAGAAGATTGGGAAGAGTTTTTGAGATTAGATTTGATTTGGGATGCGTAGCGGAAGTGAGAGGAAAGGCAATGGACGGAGGGGTTAGTTATATATAGCAGTGCGGCCGACTCGGTTGATGGTTTCCTAGGAAGACGGTTGAGCAAATTACGTTTTAGTCCCTTTGGCCGATCAGGAACAAGGTTGTCAAACCGGTTTATGCCAGTGTGCCGGTTTAGCAAGTGGAATGGTTTAACCGGTGGCACATACCGGTTTGTGCCGGTCAATATTACAAATAAAATTATAAATACTCATATTTAAACATGACATTTAACATCAATACCTAAACATTTATACTTGAATCCAACAAATAACATCAATATTTAACTTTTATACTAATAAATAAATAATAAAATAATTTTTATCAATTAAATTCTCTAAAATAAGGTCATTTTACTTAGAGATTCGTATATCGATCATGCCGGTCATACCGGTGGTGTCACGCCGGTTTTATGACCGGTACCGGTTGAACCCGGTACAACCGGTGGCACGCCGGCCGGCGTGACAACCATGATCAGGAATGAGCGCATAGGATGCGGGGGTGAAAGCGTACTTTCCTCTTAAGGGAGGAAACTGGAAAGAGAGAGAGAGAGAGAGTTGGGAGATGCATTAGATCAGAGCGTTACACGTGGTGGTGTGAAAATGAAAGGAGAACCGTCAGATGTGGTTTCCGATACGCGTGGATTGGAAGCGCCTCCACGCTACGCGTATACGGATTCCCTTACCTAATACGAACCCACCTCCCACCCCAAAAGAAGAAGAGGTAGAAAAAAGAAAAGGGAAAAAGGGGGGAAAAGAAAGAAAAAGAAAAGGGAAAGAAGATGTCTCTGATCGATGCAAAAAGGAGTTAGGGTTTCAGTCAGGCTGGCTGTTGCGTCCTCTCCTCTGGTTCTGGATTGAATTAACAATCAACAAAAATTCTGGTTACCGTTTTTTCTTTTTTAATTCTAAAATTCTGGTTACCGTTATGATTAGCACGTTGCGAGTTGAAAATTTTGATGAATAAATTTAATAATCATTTTGTTTTTAAGTAACAATAATTGTTGTTATTATGATTACGAAATTATTTACATTTCATTTTTGTTTTGTACTCCCCATTCTCAGATCACATGGTACTAGCGAACTAGGAAGCGGGATTAGTTGTTAAATGAGAGTGTTTTTAGGGTCTTTGGATGATAGAATTAAGATGATACAATTTGGTTCAATTGTTATTTAAAATAAAATAATATTGTTTGGCAACACAAAATGAGAGTACGACAATTGGGACGGGACAATTTGAATTGTCCTATTTTGCATCATTTTGAGATGATAGGGAAGGGGGCAAATATTGTAAAATGATGCATTTTTATGAAGCAATTGTGAGATGAGACAAACGAAAAGTAACGTTCGATGTTGGGGTGGAGCATTTTGGTATTTTACTCTTTTAGGGGGTGACGTTAGTGATAAGAATGGACAAACTATAGTCTACCGTTTCTTTTCTCTTCAAGTTACTTTCTCGTAGTTCAACAATATTTCCTCTTCTTTCCAAATTCTCTCGGACTCTATCTATAAATTTAACTCTCTCGATCGTTTTAGTTCTCTCTCGTCTTGTTTTTACAAAATCCATCATATTTGTGATAAGAGGTGTTTTCATCTACTATTTCCATTTATTCTTGTTGCTCTCACGATTCTATGTGTTTTCGTCACTAGTTATTGTTGATCGTTGCTATTGTCGGGTGTTGACTAGAAGCATTTCATGTTCACCTTCTCGTTCCTCGTTGTGGTGAGTTAGATGTTTCCCTATGAATTTTTTAATCGTCATTTGTATTAACACTTTTTATCAGTTTTACTGTTTAGGGTCTGGGATAGGGTTGCATTTCTCACTTTGACTCCCAGTTGAGTTTTGACATTGACGATCCGATTAGCGAACAAAATGAGACGACTCCTCTGTCTTGGTCATCGCCATCCCGTCAAGACTGAATACCAATACCAATGTTCACGTCCTAGGCTGATCGTATGGTAGTCTTGACGAATTGGTAAGAAACTGCCGATGTAGTTGTAGAGAAAGGAGCTAGAAGGCGTAACAATATATAGAGAGAAAGAGGGTAGAGAGAGAGGGATTATGTTTTATTAGTTCATAGACTTTATGCATTATCACACAGGTTAGTTATACCCGATGTGGTCACTTATGAATTAGTCCTTACAAGTCATCTCGTGTTGCAAATTAAATCCCTCCTAACTTCTTTCTTATTACATTTTAATCCTTCTCATTACAACCCTCTCTCCTTTACCATAGACGTATCCTCAAGTGTGGAATGAGAGAAATTTAGCCTTGAAATCCTTCAGATATTCCCAAGAAGCATCTTCTTCACTTTATGAGTCCACTAGATTAACAGCTAGGTAGCAGCTACGTTATGACGAGACATAAATCTTCTGCCTAATATAACTGTTGGTTCAATCTTCATGTTGCCATTATCATCATAGTCTGGTAAGGCTAGTTGAGTCTGTAGTGGATTCCCTTTAGCCCTCTTCAATAGGGATACATGAAAGACTAGATGGATGGTCGAGGTATAACAGGTACCTGAAGCTTGTGGACCACTTCTCGCATTTTCTGAGGTATACTGAAAGGTCCATAGGAATGGGGAGCTAACTTCTTATTGCTCCTGGCTTGTACAGTCACCATCATTTGGTGTCTCAACTTCAAGTAGACTTGTTCATTCATCTGAAACTCTCTTTCAATGCGGTGTCTATAAGCCATTTGTTTTTTACGATTATGGGCCATGGCTAAATGGACTCTAAAATTGAAATCAACCTCTGGTAAGTCTGCAAATTGTGTGGCACAACTACAATAGAGGTGGACCAGGGATTCTGGACAACAAATGGAGTACGAGGGTAACCATATACAACTTCAAAGGGGTCAACTTCAAGTTGTTGTGGTAATTGTCGTTGTACCACCATTCAACTAAGGATAATCGATCAGTCAATAGTTTCCAAACACCTATCGAACCTTTCTGTCTGACCATCAATTTGAGGGTGGTATGTAGTTGAGTAATGCAATTCTACACCTTGTACCTCAAATAACTTCGACCAAAATGTGCTGGTGAAGATGGCATCTCGATATGAAACAATTGAATACGACATCCCATGTAATTTGAAAAAACCATCAAAGAAGATTTGAGTCACAATAGATGCAATGTAGGGAATGGTCACTCCGAAGAAATGACCATATTTGGAGAATCTGTCAACAACCACGAAAACTACCTCCTTGCCAGCAGACATGGGTAGTTCATCAATGAAATCTATGGAGATATGTTGGCAAGCTCTCTTTGGAATGGATAGGGGTTGCAATAATCTTGAATAAGAAACATTTTCTGTTTTGCACCTCTGGCAGACATCACAAGCACCAACAACTCCTTCCTCTGACTCTTCACTCTCTAACCAACAAAGTTGTTTCTTCAACCTTTGATAAGTATCTTGAACCCTGGAGAAACCTCCAACATGCGAAGCATGAAACAATTCCATCAACTGTTGTCTCATAAATCACTTGGACCTAACCAATAAGGCAGACTTTGTGGGAAAGCAGCCCTTTCCAGATTGAGTACACTCCATGTCCAACAAAAGGTATGAAAACCGTTGTCATTAGGTCTTGAACCAAAGAATCTCCCCCATAATTCTACTCAACCCCGGGCAACCAAGTAGGAAGAACTACTATCACAGTCTAGCAATTTCTGGTAGTGGAGAAATTGGGATGCTTAGACAAGGCCTAAGCTACCTTATTAAACTTGCCTTACAGTACAATGATCTAAAACTCCAATCCCAACAACTTAGGGCCTGTTTACTTTCATTTCTGTTTTCTGTTTTTGAGAAAACAGATGTTGAAAACAGGTGAAAACAACATTTTGTCGTTTCCAAAAACAGCAGGAAGTTGTCACTTTCTGTTTTCATAGTTGGAAACGAATAGAAAACAGAATGAAAAGTAAACAAGTTTTCTCATTTCGGTTGCCAAATTTATCACATGAAAACAGAAAACAGGAAACGAAAATGGAAGTGAACAGGGCCTTAACTAGTCATTTCTTCTGAATTTGTGTATTCACCTTCTAACCAACAAATGCTTTAAGCTCTCATGGTATGTGAGGATGACAAAAAGATCTTCCTTCTAAGTAATATATTCATTTAGTTACTGCACGTAACACTGTCAAATACTCATTTTCATATGTTGAAAGGCCTTGTTTTTTTTTTTGGAAATAGGGCTTTGCTATGTTAGGCTATAAGCCTGACATATTGAGACAACACTACTCCAATGCATGTATCATGGACATCAGTTTCCTCGGTGAAGGGCTGAGAGAAATCAGGCAATGCTAGTACTAGAGCCTACACCATAGCTTACTTAATTAAGTAACTCAAAAGCCCTTTGAGCATTGTAAATCCACAAGAAATTATCTTTATTTAAAATATCATTGATATTTTTTATAATATTTAAAAGATCATTGATGTTTTTGTTTTTGACTATCAATCCATAGTTCTTCATAAATTTTCTCTAATAACCTCTTAAACCTAGGAAACCTCTCAATTCTTGGACATTATTGTGTATAGGCCACCCTATCATAACTTCAATATTACCATGGTCAATAAACACTCCTTCTTCATTGATGGTATGCCCTAGGTAATCCACTTTTCTCTGGCCAAGTGAGCATTTTGATGATTTGACATATTAAGGTGTGTTATTTGGGGATGTTTAGAGTGAATGATCTGACATATTAAGGCGTGTTGTTTGAGGATGTTGAAAGTGACATATATGTTAGTTTATGGGAGATTTTTTAAGGACTATAAACTAGGATATCATCAAAGAAAATTAAAATGAATTTTCTCGGGTGGTTGGCAAATATTTGGTTCATAAGGGAATGAAATGTAGCAGGAGCCTTGAAAAGACCAAATGACATAACTAAGAACTCATAATGGCCATGATGAGATATGAAGGTAGTTATGTACTGATCTAAGGGATTCATTCTGATTTGATATCCAGATAACAGGTCAAGCTAGGTAAAGTATTTAGAACCCCTGAGTTCATATAGTAAGTCAGTTATCAATTACAGATATGTCTTTGATATCCAGATAGCAGGTTAAGCTTTGTTTTTGATGGTTAGGACATTGAGTTGTTTGTAATCTACATAAAATCTCCATGTTTCATCTTTCTTTAGGACTAGCAGCACATGGGAAGCAAAGGGACCATGACTAGATTGTATGTACTAAGAGGCTAGCATTTCATTGGATAGTTTTTTCATTTAAGTTTTCTGAGGCATGAATACTTGTTTGGGCTAATGTTTATTGGATTTCAGTTTGGTTGTAGGGGAATAGTGTCATTACAAGGTCTAGATGGGGGTAGGGATTTTGGTTTTCCAAACACATCAGTTTACTCATTGACCACAAACATAAGGAATTCAGGGATATTGCCTAGTACTGTAAAAGTAGCAAATGTTGTGAACAAATGAACTGCCGACATAGGTACCTTCTGTTTGAAAAACTTATGCAGTACCTTACCATTCATTGTTTTACAATTACCAAATTCCTACAGTCATTTTAATGTCACCTCCTGACCTTTTTTTATCAAAGAAAAGGAGTAGGTTGATAAAGTCAAATTTTACTAGGCTTATGGTACTTAGCCAAATCAACTTTAAGACAATGTCATTGGAACTCAGACTTTGTATCATGGCATCATATTTGAATTGCTGGCCCTGCCTTTTGCATTTAAAATCCTTACAAACCAGGTTAATTGCCAAGATAGTGTCAGTAGCTACCTTAACCCTCAAAGGGGTTACTGGTGTTAATGCACACTTGAACTCTAGGGGCTTCTGCTCATTAAAAAATATGAGTGCTGCCAGTGTCTATTAGTATGAATAGTTTGGCCCTTGGCCACTAGGGAGTTAGCTGCTCCTCTAGTGTTTAAGCTTGCATTGTCACTTCCACAAGTGGGGTTCCTAGTTATTGTTCCTCCAAATTCTCCTCAGATAACTCATTCAACCCATCATCACTTCAATCCTATGGAGACAACAATCCTAACTCATCATTCTATAATGAGTTCAATTTTTATTTGGCTCACATACCTGACTACCCCTTGGTGTGGAAACTCCAAGTTTATATTTTGGAGGTCTGGACCCTGATGCGTCATACCTCTTGTTGGGTTGACTAGCACTCCTAGATACTACTAGAGCAGGACAAAAACCTACACCATTTCTTAGTTTTTTCCTCTTGGCTTCATTAGATGTCTCTTCCCGTACGAACAACTGGAATGCATGAGATAGCGTTTGAGGTTGTATCGTAGTCACAACAAGTCTTAATTCTTTGTCTAGGCTACTAATGAAACTCGAGATAAAGTAATCTTCCTACAACACAGTGTTATATCATATCATCTGTGACATCATTTCCTTGAACTCTTCCTAATAGTCCAGGAGAGAGCATCGTTGTCTTAGCTTATTGAATTTACTAGATTGCACCGAAACAAATAAGCGATTAGACCGGACCACACTAAATCAAGTATAATATTATATAGTCTTTGTCCTGTGAATTTCATAAAACGAATTGACATTTGGACAGGACCAAAGGCACTAGTGGTCTAGTCCTTGGTCCTAAGATGTCATTCATTATTGGACTACGGTTCTCCTCAATTTGGTTTGAGTCGTTGCACACCCTTACCCACCATAAGACCAATCGTTGAACCTTCTTTACAAAGCAGTCACAAGATCTTCCCAAACTAATTCTCTATGTTTGGCTATCCATCCCTCAACCCAAATATCAAACCAGCGCTCAAATATATCGCAACCAAACGAACATGCTGCTCCATGAGAATTTTATAGATCTCGAACAACTTTTCATATTTTCTAGTCCATTCTCTAGGATTCTTGCTAGTAAAAGAAGGGAAATCTAGGCGATGAAGTTGATATTGATTGTTACTTTGAGGATGAAACTGATTTAGTTGTTCCGCAACTCGCTCCAATGGAACGAGAACTAGTACTCTATGTGGTGGTGGATGCCGGATATGCTGCTCTCTTTACTGTGGTGGTAAATGCCTCCATCATCATTTCGGCCCCCAGCGGTTCGACCCTCGCCGTCAACGATCATTGTTGGCCTCTGTTGACCTAATTCAGCCAACCGCTTCATGATTTCTACAAACTGAGCCGTCGAATGATTATCCGAATTCTCCAATCTCGTGTTCATTGTTGCAAATTGTTGAGAGTGTCCTTCCACTCAAGTTGCCAGATCTTGAAATTGAGTCGCATGAATGCCGAATTGAGTATTCATATGTTCTTCAATCACACTATATGCTCATTGTGAACTTCCAACTGAGTTTCGACGTTAGCGGTCCGATTAGCGAATGAAACGAGCCGCTCCTCTGTCCTAGTAATCACCATTCGGTCAAAATTGAGCTCTGATACCAAATTGTCACGTCTCAGCCTGATCATGTGGTAGTCTTGACAAATCAATGGGGAATCTTCAATTGAGTTGCAAATGAAGGAGCTAGAAGGCTTAACAACATAGAGAGAGAAATAGAAGAGAGCAAGAGATAATAAGTGAGGAAAATTCTGTTTTATTAGTTCATACTTCATAGTCGTTGTGCAGTATCTCACGAGTTATTTATACCTTATGACTTATGTGATCAATTAAGTATCAGTCCTTACAATTCATCCCGTGTTGCAATTAAGTCCCTCCTAACTTCTTTGTTATTACATTTTAGTCCTCCTCTTTACACATGATTATTTCCTTCTTTCCTTGATGGTGCTTAGTTGCTCATATTTTTATTCGTGTCTTGCTGCTTGCTTATATTTGGTTTTTGAACTTGTTATTTCTTGAACAGAAAAGAGTTTGTTCAGTAACCCTAGAAAGGAGGAGACAACTCCAGCTCATGGAGACGGCGGGTCCAGGTGGTCTTTCTCACGACGAGCCCATACAATGTAGGAACATCTATTTCTCAAATATGTGAGTTTGCTAGTCATATTATTTCTCTTCTTTATTGATTTAGAAAGGGGTTCCTTTTTCTTTTTTTCATGTAAAATGCAGATGTTACATGTATTCTTTCCTAATCACATATCATAATGAAACCATCTGTCCCTATCGAGCTCTTGACTATTAGATCTAATTCTCAAGTTTGTGTGTCTAGTACTGAAATTTGGTGTGACTCAGTTCTTGATCCTGTCTAACTTATTTTTGAAGGTTAATTTGTATAATAGATCAATCTCGTCACTATTTCCTTCTCGACTTAATCTTACCCTCTATTCGGCGTCTTGAGACGGACAGGGTCAATGGGTCGTCTCAAATCAACCCACTAATTTTTTGAAAATTACATTTTGCTATCCAAATTTTTTCTTAAAATTAATATTGAACTTTATTTTCTTACAAATAAGTCCAAACATTTTGGAGCTGAAATTACAGTTTGGCATGTTTATGTTTATTACCTTGCATTATAATACTTTAATTTTTAAAACTTTACAAACAAGTCAAATTTGTTAGTATGAGGAATTTCATATCGCTAATTGTTGCTATGGATCACAAGATAAAAAAATGACCCTCCGCTAAGTTGATCTGACCAAATCCTTACATAACCAAAAAATGACCCGACTTTAAACCGACCCTACAAATAGATTGGCCCAACCTGACCCTCAGAATTAGGTCGGGACAGGTCAGTGGATCTCTACGGTCAAGCGTACATCCTATCTGCGTCCACAGAAGTATCAGCAACAACGCAAAAGGATGGTTCAACTTGTGCTGAAAGCCCCACAACCTCAACCATTTCAGTATTTCACATAAAAACAATATAGGATGGTTCTGCGCTTAATTTACTTTTTTCCTGTTTTAACGATATCATTCGTTATTCATACTTCTCCACAGCTTATTATTGTCTATGTGTTTTATTTTACCGAACTCTGAAATGATGGTAATTGGACAGCCCGAGAAGATGTCTTTTTTTTTTTCTTCCTGTCAGGTGTAACACTAACAGGCTATTTATTCGTACGCACCACCCAGTCCAGCATCCACCATCTACCATAGCCAGAGTAGGAGCCCCAGAACCGCCGGCCGATCTACCAAGGATTCGTCAACCTCGAAGGTCGATAATGGCATACATGAGTACTCAATGGCCTTCCATACATACTGGATTTTTGTATTCCAGGTGACTGGTGCAATGGCAAAGTATGCATCGTCAAGTCCGGACATGTTTTCATTTCGCTTGAAGAAGGATCGATGCGTATGGAGCTATGTTGTAAGTGCTTCCAACACCGGCTACGCCTTCAGGCACAATGTCATCTGGGGATTGTAGATTTGTGTCCACCTGCAACCAACCAAAAGCGAAAAATGAGGCAGACTTAACAGTAAAGGCAGTAGATCAGGGCAGGGAGACTGTAGGAAGAAATGCTAACCACTCTGTGCCAACGCCTGTTTGCTGGAGGGGATGGTATTGAGAGCTTAACAAAATAGTGATGGGCATTGAACGCCAGATAGATATCTCCACCGTTCTTATCATGAAGCCTGAAATCGCATCACAATTACATTCCAACAAGTTCACTGTGAAGGTTTTTAATAGAAAGTCTTGCGCAAGCAACTCTTACGTAAATGCAAGGAACTTGCTGTCAGGATTGCCCCAGTTGTCTTCATGCCACGTGATATCTCTCTGTGTTAAAACAGATAAAAACTGCACCTGTAAAACCAAGGACTCGGTATGCAGTGTCTTGAGTAAGTAGCCATTGACACTAGACTTACATTGCTGAGAAAATTCTCTTGCCGGAATATTTCATGTGTTAATCGGAACTTTATCGTTTCTGAGAAAAACCTGAAGTGACCACTCCTTCGTGCTTCCATCTTGTCTCAACAGAATATATATCCCAACAAGGAATTAACTTAAACCCGCACAGCTAAAAAAAATGCAGGAAAACTGTAAGGTGGATTATTAATTAGCTATACCAGACTCCACTGGAAGTTGTTAAGAGAGGTGTCATGTCCATAACTGTTGTTGTTCCCATAACGAGTATGTGCATACTCATCTCCCATTAGCATCATTGGCGTCCCCTGATAAAGTAAGACTTCAGTAAGGAACAAGCTCATTGACATGATGTGAATTCATAACCGTACAATCGAAAGGAATCAATTTACAAGAGTGGAGACATTCAAGCGGGTACAAGTCTAATACAAAGCTCTAAGGAAGATAAGCTCTTAAAACGAGTCAATTCATAACTGTTTGCATGTATACACAGCCTTTTAAAATTTACCTGTGATATCATTAAGGCGAGATGGAAGTTCTTCATCTGCCGAGAACGTAAAGCTTTAACACCAGGATCATCAGTTTCTCCTGTCCAATAAATGAATACAGAATTAAGCATGAATTTAATGTGATGAAGTGATTTGTACACACAAATAAGAAACCACATTTGCGCATTCGAGCCTTCAAAATAACTTAAGAGGAAGATGTTGTTGTATGTTACGAATCTCTTATCTCTTGGACTTACCTTCAAAGCCACAGTTCCAACTGAGGTTGTCATTGCTTCCATCGTTGCCCCCTTCTCCATTAGCATCATTATGCTATCAACATGAACATTAATGTAAGTCCATTGATTTTATAAGACCGTGGTAAATGGAACTTATGATATCCATAGTAAAAGAGATACCTTGGAGTTGTAAGAAACTAGATCATACAGTGTGAATCCGTCATGCGCAATTATGAAGTTCACGCCGTGATAAGGTTTGCGATTGTTGACCTGGGAGGATGAGTACAAAGTTGTGTGCTTAGTATACAAGCTTTTCTTTTTAAGGTGAAGAAGAAAATGTGAAAACTTTTGGCCATATGAACGATGGTGCTTACTCTGTACAGGTCAGCAGATCCAGCAACTCGAGTAGCGAAATTCCCTTTCATACCAGCATCCCCCTGTCATATGTGCAATCTATAAGGAGATTTAGAAGTAGATAACTTTCACAGGTACAACAGAAACAACTTCTCCCCCTTCAAATGAAGTTTTTGGTTCTGCACTTCTTTAGTTAATGGGAAGCAAAATTGTGTGGGATACCCTTATTCCTGATAATTTCATTCAAACATAAGGAATGGGATGATTGAAGGACGATGGAAAGAAAAAAAACTGAATCTCTTAGGAGTTAGAAGGATCTGATATGAAATATAGTGCAAATGACGTCTCGCACTCCATGGTCCTTTCTCATCAACATTCAATTAAACTGAGTTTAGGAGTAGTAAATTGCAGAGACTAAGGTCATGTAGAATAATCAGCGACCTCTCCAATCTCAAATGATTACTTTCCTATTCCAGCATTCTGTTGTTAGGATCTTGATTTACTTGCTGAACAATCAAGGCACTATTTCTAACATGCATCACCTTAATAAAACTTCTCAAGTCATCGCGATACTTCCCATTCCATTCAGCCCACCTGCATAAAGGGAATAATATGAGAGGGATGTTCTCAGGCAGGTACATTATGAACTATCATGCAACATATAAAGGATGCCAGAGACACTACAATGCAATTTTCTAGCATGACGCCCACCTTACACTCAGTGCTTTCTTGAAACCTTGATAATATACCAACCTCAATGTTGGAAACCAGAAATCGCCATTCAAATAAAGATAAGGGTGACTCGGTTACCTGTCCCAGTTTGGAAATTTTCCAACCAGATAGAGACCCCCACAATCCCAAGGCTCAGAAATTAATTTGCACCTCGATAGCACAGCATCTTTGGCAATGGCCTATATTGTTAAACAGAAGAGTCAGTAACCTCAAGTTTTAGTTCTACGGAAACGGCTGAAAATAGTGCAGTAAACTCAGGGAAATCCCAACCAAGTATAACGGACATTCGCTTAAATCATACTACATGTTATGCAACCATATATTTGGCAACTAATTGTTTTAACATGGTTTCTACAGCCACCAAAGGCAAAAGAGCATTTGACTAGAGGAATGGTTTTCTCAGACTAAAGATCTGAGAGACATGAGATGCATGAAGCTACAATTGTTTTACAGAAAGCAACAGGAAAATATTATAGAATCATCTAATATCAGAAGGGGAAATGGCTATCAGAAAGTGTGTACATAAATTGTAGGTGATTCTTATCACGAGGCCATAACAGTGATTACAAGATTCCCCCTTTAAACCATTGGCAAAGCAGTAGAATTTGTTTATTTTTAATGGGAACTGGAAAACACACTTCTGTATTCATAACTTAAGTAGCTATCCTCTTCAGACAGAAAAAAAAAACCATATAAAATAAATACACTTAATGGGTCGTTTGGATGGGCAAAGTGAAAATGTGCAAAAATATAGACATTTCGAAACGTCTACCACCCCATAGTGATGCCAAATATCTCAGCACAATGCCTCATCCAAAGGACCAATAAGTATCTATCATTACTGCATCATCCATATATATGCAAGCTCAACCATACTACTCACCCTAATAACTGGAGGAGCACTAAGGGGGGAACCATCTGTTCCTCGGCAAAGTACACTAGCAAGATCGAAACGGAATCCATCTACATGATATTCAGATACCCTGCAATCAGGGAGAGATGAAACGACATTTTAAAAATTTCTGCTTTTGGAGTTGACCAAGCAAAAATATGGCATGCCTTAGTTATGACTTGGATTTATTATTGAATTTTCTAATGACTGATGAGTGATGACAGAATCTTTTAACCCATGATTTCCAATTAATTATGTATGTGTTAACAATAAACTGCACTTCCGGCTATTAGGTACATACCAATGTCTTAAGCTATCCAAGATGAGCTCCATGACCACAGGATGATTACAGTTCAACGTATTTCCTGGAGGACAACGTACAGCAAGCAGAATCTTAGAAAATGAGCATCTATCAATAATAAACAAGCACAAAGATAAGATGCCGATGGCAGAAAGTCTTGATGATACTATAAAAGAGTGTTGAATATGATGAAAAGATAACAAAACAATTGACGCAGAACTTTCAAGTACCACATCCAGAGAAGTTCAGCAATTGGCCTTTGTTATTCAAGTCCATCATGTAATATACCTGTAGGTAGATATTTAGTAAAAATAGAATGAGAAACAAGCAAAAATTTAGTGTACACGGCACCCATTTTACTTTTGATGTTGTGCAAATGTTCTACTGTTTCATTACCATAATAAAGGTAGCAGAGTTACAACATTAGTACCCAAACAACCATTTCTAAACAGAAACCAAAATGGCAGTCCTGCAGCATCCTTCACGGGAAAGTAAGTTTTCGCTGAACTAATTTCTGGTAAATTAACTAAATGGGAGGTACTCTGAGAAACTATCTTCATTAGACCCAACTTTGCGATCATTTAATAAAGCAACCCAGGCAATAAATCATGGGAAGAATACCCAAAATGAAATTTACTAGTGCCCAGGGAGAAGGTCACCTTATTGTCTATGCCACGAAATGAAGTGGTATAAGGATGTGCGTCATCAGCCTCATTTGTATGGTTATACACAACATCCAAAATGACCTGCACAAACACTAATGTTATGCTGAATGAACACTGTTCATGGACTCACAGGAACATGTAAATGACCCATGTGAAACATGACTTGTTGCATCATAATTATAAAATTTCTCAGCTTTGGAAACTGTTAACTGACAGAAAAAAGAGCTACCTCAATACCAGCATCATGCAATGCCTTAACCATTTCCTTGAACTCCCGAGATGCACTACATGGTCCTCCACCTCCACTAGCATAGCGACTCATAGGAGCAAAGAAATTGATTGTCGAGTAACCCCATGTATTAACCTATACAGAAAGTACACAAAAAATAATTAATTCGACTCAGAGTCTATACCATAACAGTGCAGAGCATCCACTGGCCACTAGCCAGCACATGTGTCCTTGCTTTGAGTGAAACTTCCAACCAAAGAGAAATACTTTTTTTTTTGGAAAAAGGCAGACCAGTTCATCTACCCATCTCAAGTGTGCATCTGTGATTATAACAGTGAAGAAGGTAGATTCGGAAACTAGTTTCCAGTGGAATAATTGTATCAAGTATATGTGACAGAACATACAGAAATGCTAGGACTGGTATAGTTTCTGAAACATAGCCATGGAGATGCATTCAAAACCTAAGTAGTTGTTCTAATTTCTCAAAGCAAACTCATATCTACATACTCAAGGAAAATTATTCAGATACTTCATGGGTAGAGTAAAACTTTACTAACACATTGCTCTGCGCTCAATCAAAACGAAAAGAAGATGACAGATGAGACAAAAGTGATACACGTACCTTCAGCATTGCACAATACACGAAGTAACTAAAGATGCTTAAGTGCATATATACTTATCCCACTAAACTGTTTTAGTTGACCGTGCATCTATGTGGTTTGGGTGTCTCTGGAACTACATAATGATTCTAAAGGCATTCCTCCTTAATATTTGACCCAGTGTGACGTCATTTTCCTACACATGAGTGATGTAGATAATTTATGGCTGTAGTGAAACTTCAGAAGCCCATTGAAATCACCAGATCAAAAAGAGATGTAGATGACAGAGGAGATAAAGGAGATAAAATTGCTTACAGACTATGCACAATAAGTACATAAAGAAATTAATGGCATATTGTGTACATCTATACGTATCCCACTAGATCATTTTGGTTTACCATGTGGTCTCTTGGATTTGGGCGTCTCTGGAACTCAAACTCGTCAAATTCGAACACAGGAAGCAGCTCCACAGCATTTACTCCAAGCTCAAGAAGGTAAGGAATCTAGAGATTTGAGAAAATCAACTGTAAGTAGTTACACAACCACAGGCATTGCATAATGCTCATTTGCCTAACTCAACTTATGTTATTGGCCTCAAACAAACAAACATGCCTTTAGTTGAATAGATAGTAAGATATAAGACTAGTACCTTCTCAATTAAACCAAGGTAGCTTCCCCGTATGTTTGTATCCAGGCCACTAGATTCATCAACTGTAAATGCACGAACATTCATTTCATATATAACAAGATCTTTCTGCAAAAAAAAAAAAAAAGCAGAAAATAGATGGAGAAAACTGTGATACAATACAGTTCATCTAAAAGTTGTAACTGGGGGGAAACATCAAACAATAATATTAGTATCAAGTTGTACATTCAAATATAAAGAGCAGAGAAGCAGGCTGAGGAATCGGAATTCACACAACGAACATTTACAAGAAAGGAACATTTGTACCTCTGGTATATTGGGAGGCTTATAATTGTTCCCCCAGTCAAATGGCAATGTATCAAAATCATATGTTCCCCAGAAGTTTGACAATTTCTGGCTAGCATCTCCAAAATACCGACGACCTTCCACAAGCTTAGCATACGGATCGATGAGGACTTTTGCATTGTCAAATCGATGGCCTTCATACCAATCTCGAGGCCCATCTACTAGGTAACCATAGCACACATTGCTCCGTGGTAAACCCTGGAATAACAGTAGTTGTATGAAAGACTCATACATCAGCCAAGAAATAATGAGTTGAACCAAAAACTAAAGCATGCAGACAGATTTGCACAGAGACATCATACTAAAAATCTATTTTCACCATCCTGTTCTAAATCATCATCACTTGTAGACATTGGAAGAAGTAGGCTAAGCAAGTCAACATCTTTCAAAGATGGGAGATCAATTGAAATCTAAAATTGAGTTGGAAATAGATACATATATGCACTGGAAATCAACAAAGTAGTTTTACCTCGATACATATGTGCCAAATGTCTCCTGTTTTATTTAGACGAGGATCCAGATGCATTTGAATTGTACGGCTTTCTTCGTTTTCATGACTCTCACTGATAAGAAAATAACAGGAAAAGATAAAACATTTGTCAATAAGACATCAGCCATAATACATTAAATGAATCACCTAGTTTGTATGACTGTACAGAAGCATACAAAAGCTACTGCGCACCAAAGGCTAGAGCATGAGATGGACTTCAACACATTTTAGTGGAAAAAGAACTCAGCTTCTCTAGTGTACCCTACTGGGATTTACCACAATGAATCTCTTGATCATAAACCGAAACAATCAAAAAGCAAGGCCATGTTAAACAGGCAAGTAGATCATCTCATCAAAATACAGACGACACATACCAAACCTTACACATTATATGGACCCTAAATAACTTCCCAGACTTCACTAATTAGGGGAGAGTCCCACCTGGGAGGAAGAGACAAGCAAAGGGTGACAGCAGTGGCGTTCTGCGAAAAGACGGCGAAATTGATCCCATTGTCAACTTCGGAGACGCCCATTGGGAATGGCTGACCGGGGAAAATCTTGTAAGATGGAGTAGTGTCCGACATCTTCTCGACTTGCTCCTACAAAATGCCACACACACAATCGAAACATCGGCTTGAGCACACACAATAGTAACGACAATAATGATGGCAAAAATCAAGACTACAGAGAAAGAAATGAAGAAGGAGCGGGGACAAGGGAAGAAAGCACCTCAAGAACACGCTGGTTGGCACTAGGGCTGGAAACACAGGGAATTGAAAGCTTTAACCGGCGCCCCGCCTATTGAAACACAAAACCCCAGAGGGAGTAAACAAGAGTGAGAGAAAAAAAGGATTAACCATTTCCTTTAGGTATTATCAATCTATTACATCGAATTCAGAAATCCGACATGCCTGATTGAGAGCTCCACCGGCGGGATTGGCGCTGGTGCAGAAGGACGGGTGTTTGATGAAACTCAATCTAAGAGAAGCACACAAAATTAAAGTCAATGTAAGGTAAATAAGACTTTCTCTGAGAGTTCGGAAAATGCTACTAATCATTACCCAGTATCAGCGGCGAGGCGCAGAGTTCCGCCGGCGGCAACGGCGGTGGAGAAAGGCAGAGTGAGGATAGGCATTTCGGGAGGGGAAGGAAGAGAGAGAAGCGGGAGTGGTTGAAGCATCACAACCTGTCCATCTTTCTTTCGCAGTGACTGATGCGACTCCAACTCGAAGGGAGGAATGGCGATCCTTTGATTACCGATTACAGGCAGTGGGTTGGGTAGAGAGCGAGCGAACTGATTCAGCGGTTTTAACGGTCCAGAAAAGGAGGGAGGGAGGGAAAGAGCCAAAGACGAGGCCGCCACGTGAGACCGGTGATGCGGTATGGAAGGGAGGGGAAAACGGAGTGAGGCCGTGTCCTTCAGACACGTGGATCTCCTCACCTTAATATCTTCCCATCCTTTTTGGATCTTGTGCTCCCTCTCATTCACTTTCTAAAATATCATCATTTCCCAACCAACTACAGATGAAAAATTAGCACTAGTGGTATAAGGATTATTTTCAAGTGGTGGAAAAATATTTGTTGATGGGATCTATTTTGACTTCCAGTGATTGTTAATATAGTTTATAATAAAATAATGTATTAGTAATGGTAAATATAGTATATTAGCTAGAATTATTAAGCAGTGGGGAATTATAGTCACAGCTATTGAAATATAAAATAGTAGCCAACTGTTAAGTCTCCGTTAGATGATGTTGAGTTGGCAGATGTTATGCAGATGTGGAAGAGATATTCTGATGTGACAGTCAACGAAAAATGCCACATCAGCCGATCAACCTTAATAACTTATATATTAATAAATTGGGTTAATTGCACGGTTGGTCACTGAAATTACAAAAAACGTTCAAGTTTGGTCACTCAAAATATTTAAATCCATTGGTGGTCCTTCAGTTTACTCAAACCGTTCATGTTTGGTCACTCTCCGTCCAACTCCGTTAACTTTGGCTGATGTGGCAGTCAACTCTCAAAGTTGACCGTTAACTTAGTGACGTGGCAACTAAAAAATTATTAAAAATTAAAAAATTAAATTTTTATATTTTCCACCTCATTATTACATTCATTAAAGAATAAAAAAAAATAAAAAACCAAATATTCCCAATCCTTTCTTGTTCCCCTCACCCACTCTCAAATGAAATCTCAATTCTCATTATAAATAAGATAGATTAAGTTTCCATTTCTATAAAGCGCTCGCTCCTCGGTCCAAGATTTCCCCATACCACTAGCTGCCCATCATCCCCAATCCCCCTCTTCACGATGTAATGGAAGCTCCCCGTAATCGGAAACCTCCACCAGCTCGCCGGTCACCAGCCCCATCGCCGGCTCAGGGATCTCTCCCACCGGTTGGTGACGTGTCGATGAGGAGGAGTTGGGTTTCGTGTTCGAGGTCGCGGCCGTTGGATCCAACCCAGTGGGTGGTCCACCAGACTTTGAAGGGGAAGATGCTCATGAACCGTAGGTTCTTGAGCTTCCCGATGGGCGACTCGTGGCGGTGGTCGGGTTCTGCGGCGTTGAATCCGAGGAAGGCTCCGGATTTGTCGGCGGAGGCGGTGAGGGTGATGTTGGCTGGGACGTCGGTGAGGAAGGCGTGGCCGTTGGCTTTGAGGGCTGATCCGTCGAGGGAGATGGCGCCGGCGGCCGGGGGAGAAGGGTTGAGGAGCTGGTTGGCGTGGGATTCCATCAGGTCGTTGATTTTGGCGCTCAATTTGGGGGCGCTTGGAGCCATTGATCGATGCTAGAGGAGGAAACTGGGAAGAAGGTATGGAGAGCTGGATTCAATTGCGGCAAGGAAGAGAGTGGATTGAGTGGAGAAATGGGGAGTGATGACAGGGGGAGAAAACTAAAGGGGAGAGATTCGGTTCGTGGGGATATATTCTAGAAGTAAGGAGAAGGAACGAGTAGCTTATATCTTCTTCTGTATGATTTTTTGATTGGTGGGAAGTTTTTCCGATGCTCTGTGTCTTTTAATTAATGGAATGAAGGATTGGTGGATGCGATTCGTGGAGGCGGCTCGACGACGACCACGCAAACCGGAGAAATCTTGGCGTACAGATCCATCGACACCCTAGCGCAGCAATGGCGAGAGCTGAGAAGTAACGGAACTCGTCATTTTTGGAGAGGGGGATTGGGTCGGGTAGGGTATTTGGTTTTTTATTTTTTTTATTTTTTAATGAATGAAACAATGAGGTGGAAAATATAAAAATTTAATTTTTTAATTTTTAATAATTTTTTAGTTGCCACGTCACTAAGTTAACGGTCAACTTTGAGAGTTGACTGCCACATCAGCCAAAGTTAACGGAGTTGGACGGAGAGTGACCAAACATGAACTGTTTGAGTAAACTGAAGGACCACCAATGAATTTAAATATTTTGAGTGACCAAACTTGAATGTTTTTTGTAATTTCAGTGACCAACCGTGCAATTAACCCTTAATAAATTATTAGAAAAAACAAAAACAAAAATTAGACCGATCACCCCCAATATTATCTTCTTCTCCCCTTCCTCTCTATCCAAGGCGGAAGCGTTCGTCCTTGTCGGAAGCGGTGCTACCCTTCGAAATAATAATTTAGGGGATTATAATCGAAGCGGTGCTACCCTTCGTCATCGTCGGAAGCTTCTGCACAAGCGGTCAACCGGATGCTTCTTCCCTTACGTGGCTCTTCTGAAAGGCAACGTGAGAATGGGGAGGGGGGGGGGGGGGTGGAGCTGGTGTAGAGGCCCTTAAGATGCCATCTGCAGAAACAAATGGTTGCCCTAAGAACGGAATCATCAATTTCTCGAGGAGGGTTAGCAATGGCGGCGGCGCAGCTGGGGACGCAATTATGGTTGTTCACCGGCAGCAAGGAAGAATGTGGTTGGGGCAGAATGCGGCGGGTCTTCTACGTCTCTTCGTGGGGTGCGCCGTCGTTGTGCGCATTCCTTCCGATTGTGGGCAACCGAAGCGATTACTGTGGTATCAGAGTGGTGCAACAGAGGAAGAAGCACGATGGGAGGGAGGAGGAAGAAGACGTGTGTGAGGAGGTTTTCTATTTCTTTTTTATAATAATAATGATTATTTAAATAAATTATTATTTATTTAATATATATTTTTAATACTTTCTGACGTGGACACTAATATTAATGTTGACGGCAGTCTCCGTTAAAAATATAATAACAGTAACAGGTTGTTTGCCATATTTTGACCCGCAACAATAGTTATGGCTAATGATTTGTATTTCGATAGTTGTGGCTATAATTCTCCGCTGCTTAATAGTTCTGGTTAATATATTATATTTATCCTATTATTAATAGTATGTTACATTACGTTTCATTACTCCCATGAAGATTTTTTGACAATTTTTTTCATAAGTACACTATTTCTTAAAAATTTCTCAAAATGCAATAGTTCTTATAAAATTTTCCAATCTACACATTATTCACTTGGTCGCTTAAGAGTTAAGCGATCTACTATAAACCGTTGGAGAGGAACGCGATCAACTATAAATCAATTTTACCCCCAACGTTCAATAGTAAATAGTGCATCTATAAAGTGATAAAAAATAAATCGCTTGTTGAGACAACGATTTGCACATTAATAGCATGAGAAGGAAGTGATCAAATCACATCACTTTTGTTTTGAGCAATTTTATTTCACCACGGGGATAGATTAGGTGCAACGGTTTTGGGTGGGTGGACTGGTCAACACCACGATCGCTTTTATACCAAGCGATCAAACTTAATCGCTTTTGACATTATTGATCATATTTCACCACGAGGATAGGCTTAGCTGCATCAGTTTGGGCAATGATCATTTTGTCAAAAGCGATCTTGCTGTAAATTGCTATGCCCTAAAGCGATCAATCCCAAATCTTAGTGGTATAAAATGACTATCCTCTCATCCTATCCTCTCATTCTTATTTCCCCTCTTCTCCACCATACTTGCAGAAACTCCCACGGAGCACCGAAATTTCATTCCCTCATTCTAACTATAAGATATGTCTTATTTGTTTAGTATGTTCATGCTTAAGTAGTTATGTAATTGTGTTTCACTAATTATGGTTAGTAAAAATTATGGTAAATATTTGAATTAAAGCTGATTATATTATGGATTATTATTTTGGATGTTGTATGTGATTGTTAGTTATTTTAAATTGCATATATGGGTAGATTTTGAAAGTTCCAGCTTTTTATTTCGTGGAATGGTCGGGTGATAAGCTCTCACGTTGGGATCAATTATGAAGATGGTGAATCTAGTAGATTGAAGCTTCAGACCATATTCACGTGGCAAGGACTTTATGACATTTGTGCAGACCGAATTTGTATGGGGGAGACAAGAGTTTGTAAAATAACTTACTGATATCCAAACATTAGTGGATGCGGTGTCATGTAAGAAGAAGTTATCATATCTGACAATGATGGTGTTAACATGATGTTGTACTTCCTAGCTGAAAACCAAATCAGGCTTGGAGAGGTGTACGTTGAGACCGAGGATGTCTGCCAGGGTGGAACCAGTTATGGCTATGATGGCAATGAAATCTCTTCTCACCACCATTCTTATGGTGATGGTGTTGCGGGAGGATGGGGTACCATGAGAATCCTCATCGTATTAATTATGTTGAGCCCACCCCATTTGTTGAGTCTTACGGCGTTCGATGACCGACTTCGGGTCCATAAATCAATTTTACCACCATCGATCAATAATTAATCGTGCATCTGTAAAGCGATAAAAAATAAATTGTTTGATGTTCCAATAATTTCCACATTAATCGCATAAGAAGGAAGTGATCAAAGCACATCACTTTTGTTTTGAGAGAATTTATTTCACCACGAGGATAGGTTCGGTACGGTGGCTTTGGGTGGGTGGACTGATCAACACCACGATCGCTTTTGTACCAAGCGATCAAGCTTAATCACTTTTGACATTATTGATCATATTTCACCACGAGGATAGGGTTAGCTGCAGCAGTTTAGGCATTGATCTTTTTGTCAAAAGCGTTATTGGTGTAAATTGCTTTTCCCTAAAGTGATCAATCCAAAATCTTAGTGGTATAAAACAATCCTCCCATCCTATCTCCTCACTCTTATTTGCCCTCTTCTCCACCACACTTGCAGAAACTCCCACGGAGCATCGGAACTCCATTCCGTCATTTTAACTATAAGATATGTCTTATTTGTTTAGTATGCTCATGGTTAAGTAGTTATGTATTTGTGTTTCACTAATTATAGTCAGTGCAAATTATGCTAAATATTTGGATTAAAGCTGATTATATGATTAATTGTTGCTCTCGATGTTGTATTTGATCTTTAATTGTTTTAAATTGCAGAAATGGGTAGATTTT